TCTTTTTTTTATATATCCCCCCCCCCCCCCCCCCCCCCAACTCTGAAAGCAGCACAGACAAGCTGCAGGGCTTATTTAAGGCTGGCTGTAAGTAATCCTCTCATTATGCCCTTCGATCCTCCCCTCCTCCTCCTGCAGATACAGCCAGAGGATGAGGTAAGCACCACGCTTCATCCCTGAGATGCCAGCAGCAGCGTATCTGCTCTTTCTGCTGGCTGGAGAGCAGCAGGGCATTAAAAGATGGCACAAACCTTGGGTCCTGTTGTCCTCTCGTCCCTCCACGAAGCGGCAGCGGCCAGGCCAGCAGCCGGTGTGCTGAGCACAGGGGCACCCAAAGCATTACAGGAGCGCTTGTGCTCGTGTTTCAGAAGCATTTCAGCAGCCTGTGTCTCAGCGGTCCCTGCAACCAGGCTGCTTTGGGCCACAGCTCTTCCCTGTCTCGCCACACAGTGCAGACATTTTCTAACGAGTTGTATAAGCGTATGCATGAAGGATGCGGTCCCATCCCAGCAGCAGAGGCTTCTTTCCGACAGCAGAGGTGCCAGTCTCCAACCACGCAGCCACAAAAGCAAGGAGAATAAATCTTCACCACGTGCACAGGAGACAAGGCAAGAAGCAACGGACGTAAACTGCCATGAGGGAGATTTAGGCAAGAGACTAGAAACATTTCCTCACAGCGATGACAGCTTTGCCTGAGAGGTTATGAAACGTCCGTCAGGTGCTGTCGGGAATGGGTTGCAGTGAGCTGCTCCTCCTCTGGAGCAAGGATAGCTGGTTTCTCGTGATCCCACCTGTCCAGGCTTCCCTCGCTAGACGAAGCACTTTAGGGCAGCACCGAACACCGTGGGCTGGGATCCTTGCTGGGACAAGAGCCAAGGCACCTTTGTGTGCCAAGGCAGCACACTCAATATTGTAAAGGAGATGAAAGTGTTCATGAAAAACTTCTCTTCTGCATGGGGGGGAAAGCTAGGAGTCACGTTGCAGGCTTCTCTGCCCCAGACCTGCCTCCAAATAATGCTTATTAGTAGCTGCTATAGCTAAACCTTTTGTGGTCACCTATGTAACTTACGCCAGAAGAGTTTCATGTGGAATTAGGCAGCGAGCTGCCCTGGAGCATTAATGCTCATTTTCCAGAAACAATCAGGCAGCTGGAGAAGTCCCAGAGTGCTGCAGAAAAACAAGCTGGCTGATCCTTCAGAAAGATGAAGGGGTGCAAGGAAATTCAAGGCCTCAGAAGGACACCGATCAAAATGAGAGCTGCTCAAGGATTAAGGAAAAAATACCGTTAGTGGCAATTAATACGGATTTGTGTAACCTCTGTGCTGTGGTGGGGTCAGGAGCTTGGAAAGAGGCACCAGTGCTGTTATACTATAGTACCTTCCACAAGGCATCCAACTGCTACCTGGCAGTTTTGTAAAGAAACCAAAAAGGAACAACATTGAAATAACACTCAGACCAAAAAAAAAGGCTCAGTGCTGGAAATGACATTGTGAACAGCGACTCAGCAAATCTTCTGCTGAGTTATTCCAAGATTAGTTCCTAACCTGAAAGAAAACACAACTGAGTTTGGAGGAAAGAGGAATAGCGATACCAGCTGGGGAGGCTGCCAGGTAAATTTGGAATAACTACTATTTCAGTAAAACTGGAATACGACTCTCAGTATAACTCTCCACGTGTTGATTCCTCATAACCTTTTGTAGCAGCTGCCAAAGCACAGCAAATTCCTACAACTTCGCACGCAAAACCTCCTGCAGGCTAGCTCCGGCTGCCTGTTCCCTCTTCTCCCTGCAGCCCTCTGGGAGGGCAAATCCTGCCTGCACAATCCTGCCTGCACACGGAGCAGGCCAGTGCTCAGTTTTCCACAGCCACCTCCTGCTCTCATCAAAGCCGCAGGACAACTGAATGTTCAACATCTATATCCCAGCTACGTTACCCCGTAACACACTGCTGGCTCACCTGGCATTTTTAGGTTCCCAAACGGTACGTTGATAGATTTATTGAGCTTAATTCTCACAAGAAAAAAACACCCAGCTCTGACTCCAGTGACTAATGAATCTATATGGGTCAAGGCAGTGGCAAGTAGATCTTCTCTAGTTACACCAGCTGGTGAATAAGGACAGACTTGGTGCGTAAGAATTCTTTACCCACCTTATTTTTAATACAATTTTAACTTGCATCTCTTCTTTGGAGATCATAGGAAGGGCTAGGGGCAAAGGACATAACAGAAATAATAAATGGTGACTAAGTATTTTAAAATATAAGTACTTATACTGATTTAAATCAAGCCCCGTAACAGCTTCTGTGTTCAATACACAAATTTTTCATCTAGAGATCGAGGGGGTGTCAGGATGGTTCTGAAATTTCTAGAAACAACCCATATTTACAGACTGTACAACATGCAAGAGACCTCTCCAAGTGGTGTGGACAGGTGTGAGTCCACGGCACAGACATTATTTATTAGATACATAACTAAAATAATTTGCACATTTATAGGACAGACTCCATTAGGTAAATCATAACTGCATAGAGTTATTTTCAAATAAAGAGGCTAAACCTCATCTTCTGCTGAGAACTAACACTAAGTACAATTTCACTGGTAGGCATATTTATTAGGTAAATGAAATACAAAAGTGAGCAAGGGGATTATAATGCTTCTGTTCTAGGGAAAAAAGCATAAGGCAAAACACAGGGCATCAGCCAGCTACTCTAGAAGGAGACTGGCAGAAGCCATCTTCTTCAATTTTGGCCCTGCCTTCGCAAGCTGCCTTCTCAGAGAGGTGTCACCACTGCCTTACAGGAGAGCACTGCCTGGATGTCCCCAGACCTCGTCAGCTGGTGTGTCACTGAAAGGGGAAATCAAAGCCAGCGCACACTGACGTGCCTGGGGACTGACCAGGCTTGCCTAGCTGGAGCCACGGATGAAGCCAAGATCGTTGCAAGCACTTTATCAATGAGGTCCGCCAACCTTCAGGGAATGAAAGGCAATTATTTGTGTATAGCCACAACTAGGTTAAGGCAGCACTGCAAGACCGCTGGGGTTTGCTGCCCTCTGACTGTGGGGCAGAGCTGCCTGCACCTCCAGCCCAAGCCAGATATCCAGAGCTGTTTGTGTGATCATCCTCGGCCCCTCTCCCAAACTGTAAGAATCTGCTGCAAGAAACCACTTCTTCCCAGAGACCAGGAGAGGGAGAGTTAAGCCAGGATGCTCAGAGCATAGCCATGATTCCTGCCCCCTGCTCAATGCTCCTCAAGGAGCTCACAATTCCCCCCCTCCCTGAACCACAGTGCCCAGGTGTCCCAGAGAGCATAGGGAGGATCCACTGGCATCACAGAAAACATCCCAGGGAGGGGAAAAGAGTTACACCCCATGTGCTGTTGTCATTGCTGAACTACCACTGAGTGCCTATCCTATTTCCAGGCAGCTTGTAGCATCTATCCTACGTAACACCGACAAAAGCAAGAGCATACATCCAGGAAATAAGAACGCCAGTCACGACTGAGGACGGGGGCTCCGCCCTGGAGAGCATGAGCTCCATGTGAGGCTAAGGAGCTGCAGTAGGAAGCAGCTGAAAATGAGTCAGCAGTGCATCTGACAGCCAATTCAGCAAAGGCACTCCTGGCTGTGTAACAGGAGAACAAGCCTAAGGCAGAAAGCATTTGTTCACAGCACATCTCTGGATAGGACTTTGCTTCCGACATAGTAAGTGCACTCTCGGGCTGTACAGACCCCACTGCAGTGGGCTATGGATCCAAGCACCAGCAGCAGCTACAGCACATGATGTTCCACCAGACAAATGTCCATACACACGAAGATGATGATGAAAAAGGAGCCCCTGGACTCTCATCCATGGGGATGCTCTTGCATGTGCTGGAAGAGACTCAGAGCTGGCCGTAGCAGAAATCTTAAAGTGAAAAGGCAGAAAAACTTCCAAGCGTCAGCAATGATGAAGTAGCCAATATTTGCACAGACCCTGCCTTAGCACTGCCCTGGCACATCCTTGTGTCACGGGCTTGGTGAGTGGTACTGGGGCGTTAGGCAGAGGTGCTGAAGAAGCAGCCCAAAGAGGCTCATGTTAAGCCACTGCATTCTGGGAATTACCCACCACTTTGGGCTGAGTCTGAAGCTCAACCTTCGACTGACTTTTCCTCTGCAACTTCATGTTTCCACCACGTCTGAGAAGAAGATTTGGGAAAAGTATTTTCACAGCATCACACAGCTCTGCAAGCTCTTTGTTCACAGGGATGTCCTAGAGGGCAAAATCACTACAGGTAAGTAAGCATATGGTATGATTTACCATCCCTCAGAAAACAGTTATTGCAACATATTCTGTGCTCTCTCAAACCAAACACAAAATTCTAACACAAGATTGTGAGATCCAGGGCCGTTAGCCAACACCACCATGTTACGGGCAGGTATGAGATTCAACAAGCAGCAGCATCCTGCTCCCAGGGCAAGAAGCGAAAGAGCTAAAGTGATGGTGAGCAGTACAGAAATCAAAGGAAGATAGGGGTTTTCATGCAAGCTCCTCACTGCACTGCCAAAAGACAGTGAGCTAAAGCGGATAAAGGTGGAAAACACCCTGTCAAAAACAAGCAAACAAATAAAAAAAGACCTGGAGAGAAAGTCAGGACAATGCCAGGATGGATAGTAAGCCCAGAAGAATGGTCTACAGGAAGAGAAGTTAAAACAGCTGGAAAGGAGGAGGAACAAGGGACAGGCACTGAATGACAGAAGGCAGCTCAACATTTCAGGGATCATGAGCTCTCTCTTTAAGGCAGATGTCTGGATTGTTCGTAGCAAAGGGTCACAAAGAACAAGATTCACCTGATTAAATGCTGGTGACTGCAAGGCAACTGTTTCCTCTGAGCTCACCATCACAGTCTCCCTATGTAGTCCATGGTGATACAGTCAATACAGAGCTGAAGTGCAAGTCTCCCCATCCTAAAGCAGACTTCTACACTTTGGTGTGTTAATTTTGCCTTAAATACCATTGATTAAACCTCCATCTTCTATGAACAGATCTTGTGTAATCACCTCAGACATAGTCACCGACATTGTATATGAGCTAGGCAAAACAAATTCCTCCTCAATAAACAACTGAGTAACTGTCTTCTCTTTTTAGAAATTAAAAGTAGTTGCTAGTTAATTGATCCAGAGGGCATTAGGTGGCTACTGGCCTGAGACAGAGCCTCTGTTCCAGAAGTGATGCTCTTTGGTGCCTTGTGCTGAGACCTACCTGGTGACAGAGGGCTGCCTTCTCAGATCTGGCACTGTTCACAAATGGGGTAGATGTTCAAGTAAGTGGCAGTTCTCGTGCCTTGTAAGGGCCATTTAGCTTCATTAGAAATGGGACAGAAATCTTTCCAAAACTATGTGCATCGTCACAGCAGAGAGCTCAAGCTTCCCGGGGAACTTCTGAATTCACAGGTGGCCAGATTCTTCCCAGTGCTCAGCACCTTTGCAGTGAGAGCTGAGCCGTGCCTCCTCCACACCCTGCTGCTGCCCAAAGCCTGAGCAATGCCCAGCTCGGTGCCTTCATGCACCTTGGTGCTGCTGCAAACACACAAAGTGGGGCCTGGGCACATACAGACAAGTCCACGTTTTGAAGTCGGGGGCCATTCCCTCCATATACAGTCCTCACTGGGCAGCAACAACGCCAGAGCCAGAATCCCTCTGGCAGCCCTTTGTTATTCATACACCATGTATTCAACCTCTTCCCTCCCTTCCCTTTTCCTTCTGGTGTAACACTTACTGGCAAGTCCAGGATCTCCATGCCAGTGCCAGAATTTGCTTGTAGAGCTCTGAGGACCCCACAGCAGCCTTCACTCTGCATGGGATTTCTGGTCATCCGCAGTCAGAAAAGAAACAGCAGGAGGATATGTGACATGGATTTTTTTGTATGATCCTTGACGGTACCAGTGGCCCCCAGTGGGTGAGATACCAGCAGGGTTTACTTCAAGTGCCAGTAACAGTGGGCCAAGGGCCCTCAAGCGGCCATCCCAGTGCCACCCGCCATGTCAAGCTGGACACTACTGCCGCAGCAATAGGATGCTATCCTTGCTGCAAGACACGGCAGGACAGGCTGCAGTTCACACAGTGGCAGGCTCACAGAAATCTCTGTTCACCGAGGAAAGTGCTGGATACAAGCCCTCTGTCTTAATGAGAGCATACTGCAACCAGGGAAGCATGGGAGGAGACAGGCTGGGGCAAGCAGCTCCCTGATTTTGCTGTGGATTTGTTCTAAGGGGTTCCAATCCAGGACATACATGCACCACTGATATTTAAATACGTGTAAGAGGCTCCAATACCTTCCTAGGAAAGTTACTCACGTTAAGTCTTTTCAGAGTCTTGTTTTCTTTCAGGCCAGCTGCAATGTGCAGAGCTCCTTCCACCGAAATACGGTTGTTGCTAAAAACAAATAAAAGGCATGCTTCACATGCTGAGCTGCAGGTTTTCCATATCCACATTGCTCAGGCAAAGGATATGCAACCTACTGCTTCACGCAGCACTGAAAACATGTTATATCCAGAGGGAATTTAGGGCAGCTCCTTCCAACTAAACAATTGTACTTGGGAGGTTGGAAGCGGTGAGGAGTTGCCAAATCCCACAGGCTGACAGAGGCGCGGCTGACACGGCTCCACGCCCCCAGTAGTAAGGCTGACCGTGGATTTCCAATAGGCACAGACACAAATGTATGCAAGATATGCACACGGCCAGCCACATAGACCAACACAGAAACACTCAACATTCACACCTTGTCCCTCTCTTTTCCCATGCTTATACCTCCCCAGACCACCTGGTTTCCTTCCCTCACCCTTGGTTCCTCCCCTAAACATCCCCCAACAGGCCTTGTGCAATCCCCAGATGCTCTTCCCCCACACCCCGTAACGCATTCTGTGGAAGTTACCCCAAGTTTAAGGAGAGGAATTGGGGTTTGGGATGAGACCGGCAGCGCTAGTATTTTGTAACGCTCCCTTTGCCTTACGCACCTACCACACTCTGCAGGTAGGAGATCCAAATGGCTGCTGCGGGCTTTGCCCACCGCTGCAGAATGGGAGAAAATGTGCAGCAGGACCAGTCTGACTCACCTAACGTTGAGCTCTTCCAGCACGTTGTTGGCTTTAAGAGCCTCCCCCAAGGCAGCTGCTCCACTGTTGCCAAAGCCATTGTAGGAAACATCCAGCACTTTGAGAAATATGTTTGCCTGTGGTGTGACATAAACGCACAACTGAAAATCTCCCTCTCACTTGATTCAGCCTTGGAGAAACATCCTGCCTGTGCACTACCACCCCTTCTACTGTCCAAAAAGCAGTTGGGGCCTTGCTCCGCTAGGATGGCACACGTGATTGGCATTATACAAGAGGTGAAATGAAATTACTTTAGTGGCCCCTTTCAGCCTAAGAGGCTGGAAGAACTGTTTCTTATTTTAATGAGAGGCTACTTTCTTTTAGTAGAGTAAAAACTGTAAATAGACTACAAAAAAATTTCTGTATTGATTTATGAATCAGAAGTGAAATGAAACAATTCAAAACATTCATTATAGTAGCTTTGACTCTAAAAAGGGAAAGAACTAGAAATAGAGCAATGAAAACATATGCAATATGTCAATAGACAATGGATGATTTTACTCGCTTAGTTCCAAGGTTTGTATGATCCCAGATCGTAGATGGCTGTTGGACAGGCAAGGGCACAAGGCAAACAGCACATCATGGCATTCACGCTTCTTTAAACAGATAAAGCTTCATGCGAGTTCTCAGAATTTAGAAACAGGAGTGAAAACATTTCCTACCCCCAAGCCTTTGGCCAAGGCAGCTGCCCCTTGGCTATGGAAATGGTTCCAGCTGATTTTAAGTTCCTTTAATCCAGTGTTTTCTGCTATTGCCATTCCAAGAATTTCACCTAAGAAAAAACACATGAAGCCAAACAGTTTAAGAGTTGAAAGAATTAAGTTTGAGAGTTAAAAGGAAGCTCGGGTTAGTTTAGGTATTTCTCTGCAACTGCCTGTATTACCTCTAGACAGGCAATTAAAACTACAACATATTATTTTCTTTTATACTTCGTTTACTGTAAACACAAAGCAGAAGCTGCTGGACAATAAAGCATATGTGCTCTCTGACTACAGGTTGCAAATGTAGCAAAGAGGGAGAGAAAATGCAATCACCGTATCACAAAGCCAGGGTCTGCTGCTCATGCGTGGAGATCCGACCGCACCGGCTGGTTCTCCAGCCTGAGGAGGGTCTGAAAGCTGACACCACGCACCAGGTAGCTTCCCACAGTCTCTCACCCTTCCCCAGCTCTGGCCTCCAGCCAACTGAAGCCTGCTGGTCCGCTCTGCTGGCAGAGAAGCCAGCTCTGCTCCCTCTTTAACCCCTCCCAGAGCTCCTGTGCCATTATAAAATCTGAATAGGTTTCATCAGCAAGTGTTCCGTGAGTTTCCAATGGGCCAGGAAAGAAATGAGGTTGTCAACCAGCACAGAAGAAAAGGAAGCCATTGCCATGCTTGAAGACCAGAAGACTGGGGAAAGACTGTAAAGGCAGCAGGAGGTGAGCAGGATAGGGGTGGAGAGAAAAGCAGCCATTGCAGCCTTCAAAAGTAAAAATGAGGAAAAAAGCAGAACGGAACTGGGAAGGAACCAAGTGAATGGCTGGTGTGTTCCTGGTGGCCAGAAGAAATGAGGATTATGGTTGTTTCCTCTCTTGTGAGCCAGAGAAGCCCACTGAAGACATGGAGGATCTTCAAGGAGGAGGCTGTAGCCAGTGAGATGTGTGATGATTAAGGGTTGTAAAGCAGTGGATGGAGAGAAGATGGTGAATTTTTCATGAAAGACACAACCCGGGAAGAATGTGGACCTGACAGACAGCATAGGATGTGGCATGGGAGAGAAAAAATTCAGTATCTCCCTTTTTGAGTGTGTACCCATCACAGACAGTGTTGGAAGTAGAAGGATTTGGAGCGCAGTTGTAGGGTGAGACCAGGAGTAGGGAGAAGATTTGTGAATCTTCATCCTGGAGATAGTACCAGAACACATGCCTGGGGCTGCCCACGGACAGCCATAGATGGAGAAGATGAAGCATGTGCCAATAAGGTGCAAAAAGGAGATGAGCATAAAGGTTGAAAAGTCAGGGATTAGCAATGACATCATGAGGAGTGCTCTACAGAAGTGGACAGTCAGGAAGAAAGGGTGGGGGAGTTCAGCCCAGCACAAGTGAGCCTGGTGAAACCAGTACAGACTAAGGCCCAGAGACCAATAACTGCGTTTCATCACGTCACACAGCATCACAGGAGCGCTGTGAATGCAAGGATGTAACGATTAAGTAACAGCGTGCTTAAAAATCAGAAACCAAAGAAAAAGAGCAATATGTATTAACAAGGTCGAGACCAACAAGAAAAGAAATAGCCAAAGTCACTAGCAAAGGAAGTCCCCAAACCACAAGCTGTCAAGGGTGGCAGGGTATCAGGGAAGCGCAACCGCCTGCTTGTTCCACTCTCACACCCTCCCCTTGGCACCTGCAATCACCTCTCGGTGACAGGGAGCTAGACAGAAGGACTGTTGGCAAACTCCGTTCTGCTGGTTTTTTTCTGCTCTTATTAAGCATTTTACACACCCGTGAAAGCTGAAATAATGACTGAGAAAAAAAGCAAACGATAGTTCAGTGAAAGGAAGACCATCAGAACTTGGGAACTAGGAACAACGAGGAAAGAAACAGAAGCGGTAAAGCTTGCAATGCTGTAAGAAAAGGCAGAGAATGCAGATGAACGAATGATGATAGCTTGCACTGGTTTTGCCTACAAAGAGCCAAAAATACTTTTCAGGAAACTGAAAATATTAACCAACCCTGCTCCCCAAAGGTCTGAGGCAGGCAAGCAACTCATTAAGCTGCGTTGCTAACTGCCACAGCAGCACTCTCTGTGCAAGCTGCACAGACAGCACTTACCTGCTTTGTCACCAAACATGTTGTAACTCAGATCCAGAATTTCCACCTTGCTGTTTGCTGTGATGGCAGCTGCTAAATACTTCGCTGCATGATCATCAAATTCATTTCCTGAGAGCTGGAGGGACACAATTGTAGTATTTTCTAGAAGCATAGCGGAAAAGGCCTTAGCTCCTTCAACGCCTAATTTGTTGTCAGATAAATCAACAGCTGGGGAAAGAAAAAAACATTATCAGATCATCAAATCATATCATATCAGATGCCAGAGAGGCGCCTGACCTCTATGCTGCAATGGCAGAAGCAGTGCCAGACTTGGAAAATAAGAATGCTGAACCTGGTCTAACACAGTATTTTAGTAGGAACAACAGAACTTCATTTTTGAATTCACAGCCTGTCCCTAAGACAGGCTCATTTAAGTTTTGCCACATGAATATGAGACATGAGACAAAAGCGCTCCTTGTACATCTGTCTTCCCACTCCAGGCACAACCTACACTCAGCAAAGTTATAGCGGGTTTCTTGGTTCCTCATCACGGCTTGAAAAGAAGAGCGTAGGCTGGGAGAGACAGCGAAGCTAAATGTAACACCACGAATGGATGGGAAGACAGACGCTGAGACCCAAATATGAAAGTATGAACTTCTCTGCCCACCTACATACAGAATGAATCTTCCTAGCACAGAAGTAACAGAACCCTAAACCTCTAATACTGAATCCAACCACTAGAAAACAAAAATAAGGAAATCCCACGTTAACGGGGTCTCACAGCACAGAACCTGTCCCCTTCATCCATGATGACTTCCTGACAAAGCAGATTAGGGTTGCCTTAGTTACACAAGAGTTGTGTTCTCAGCTGTCTAAACTGACCTTGTTCTTTGTGAATAAAAGATATCCTTCAGCGCAGCAACCAGCATGACTTACAGCGAAGTTCTGCCTGTATCATAGCGGGGGCCTGCAGATTCAGACACTGAAACAGGAGGTTAATGCAAGTGCCGGAAAAAGTGACACAGACACATGACAGGGGCTCCACGCAGACCCGTCCTGGGTCTCTGCTCTGCGCTCTTCACATAGAAGCACAGCACAAGACTCCTAGACTGTCTCCACACGTAACAACCTCAGGTTTGGCAGGGCTTGTTAGTGCTTCTGGGTACGTGCTGGCACAACCAGCTGTATCCCACTGGACTGCCTTCACTGCACCTCAGCTCTGCGGAGCCAGCGCAAGACCCTGCCACGTGTAACCTACAACCCAGATAACCTGTCCAGGTATAACTGGGAGTTGCTACTTAAATTATGAAAGGCAGGAATATCGACCCTGGAAAAGCAGGGACTGAAACCATGATCTCTAGACACAACACTGCCTGTCTGAGACTTAAATTCAGGAAGCGCTGCTCTGCTTCTGCTCCCTGTATCTGTAGTATCTGTAGTCTAGAGGTATTAGAGGTATTAGACACGTGAGATGTCCCTGGGAAGAGCAGACGTGCTGCTGCTAGAACAGAGGCTTGCAGATTCACTCTAGATGGGCTTCTCTTCCACCTGTCCCTACCTAGAAGCTCCATTTTCTTAAGATGCCAATCGTGCAAATTCAACTTACAAAGCCTTAACCATTATTAACCACATCCTCTGAATAGTCTAAGTTTCAGGTGGATGTTTCTGATCCACAATCAAAGCAGAAACTCGCTCTTTCCAGCAGCTTCACAGGAATAACAGCACTGGGCTGACTCCAGTTAGTGGCATCCTAACTTCACAAAAGTAAATGCTATGAAAACAGGTGGAGAAAGGTGACGAGCAGCACAGTTTTAAACACTCACCGTTCAAACAGCACCCCAGTTCTGGTACCCTTTTCACACACACAGAGTCACTATGACAGCACAAAGAAGCCAGCACGATTTCCTCCTCTGCAGCAACGCGTCTACCAGAGAACGGCAGATGGGAGAATACAAACCTGAAACGCAGCCGTTTTCTTTCAGCATCTCCGCAATTGCAGCTGCCCCTTCTCCTTGCAGCCAGTTGTCACTCAGGTCTAACGTTAGGATAGAGGTATCGGCCATCAAGGAAAGGGCTAAAGCCTTGGCACCCTGCAACAAATAAAACCCACAACAGGTCATTTACAGTTTCACTGGGTTCACAAAGCTCTTGTGAATGTTTCTGTTTCAGCTCCCCTTAGCCTGGCAGGGCTCGGGGGGATTTCACAAAGCAATCAGCAGAATCATGCAAAAATATTCCCCTTCCAAAATCATTTAAAGCTAGGCTGGAAAAGCAAACACTGAATATGGTTTAAATTCAAGAGATTTCATTTCGCTTATGTTATCATAAAATTATTTTCTCCTTCCATAAAAAAGATGAAAAATACTTCTGCTGTCAATATTCACGACGTAGAGGAAAAGGGAAAGGTTCTGGCCTCCTGTGCCTGACGGTGTACCTCTCCGGACATCACTTCTACCTGGCAGTCTGTCAGTACAGCCATAGTAAGCGCCGGTTTACTATGTTTTGTTTACTTACGGTTGCTCTGAATCCTGACCTCAACATTTAAGAAGCTTCTATTGCGTCAGTGCCCTGGTCTGTTTCACTGGGAATTCTTGGTTTCAGAAATATTTAAACAGAAGTATGGCAATGACCTTGCGATTACTCAACAGATACTGCAAAATCAAGTATTTTCTCCAGCCTTGGATGTCAGACACGGGAAAATGAACTGGAAGGGACCTCAGAGAACTATTCCAGATAAAATACACTTAACAGAACAAAAAGGTTTATCACCAAAAATTAGTATGAAAGGCTGCACCCTTTTCATGGTCCAAAGCACACATTTCCAAAATGCCATGCCCACTGAAAGCAGCTTTCATGGGTGGGACACGAACCAATGCGTGAATGTACAAAAAGTTTATAATTTCTTCCTAAAAATATTAATTTAAAAAATGTGGAGTACCCCAGAGGAGACAACACACTCTCAGGAAAAATTCTCAACCCAAGGGGGAAGAGGGGCAATGACACACCTGCACATCCCATCCTCCCGCCTCCCCTCCCGCGTCCAGGGAAGGAGACGACTCCCGTTCCTGAGCCCTGCAAAACAACCTGCTGACAAATCCCCACCGCCTGCCAAACACCAAACCTCGTGTGGAGTAAACGCTGGCCCCTAACCGGTATCTGAACCGCCAGCAAGGCAGGCAGAAAAGGGTCACCGATATGTTCTTGACATAAAACTTGGGTTGCTCAGATACCCAGAGGAGCTACAACAACGTTTTCGTTAGTGGGAAAGACAAAACTGACAGTCCCCAGGTTGGGGTGTTTGCACTGGTTTCTGGTTCTGGCAAGGGACCAGAGCTAAGCGTGACGACAGGGTGACAGAGAGGACAGCCCCGGCTGGCTGATGGGGCTTGCAGCCCCTCTGACGCCCCAGAGCCCCGCGGCAGGTGTCCCTCACGCGGGGTGATGGTGCTGCCGTCCCTCACC